GGGGGTGGGGGAACGCTCCTTGCGTTCTTCTCCAAGTTTCCGAGATTGTCACAGGAGACGGGAGGAAGAGAGAGAAAGCGAGAGTTTGACTGAAGAAGCCGCAATCGAACAGAACACCTGCGATGAGGAAAACTCAAGTGATAATGCCGAAAATCAGAATCCACGGACTGAAATCGTTCCGTCCGGGTTCAGAATTCTGAGAAAAGGGTTCTCTGCCCGAAAACCCAGACAGGAGACACAAGCTGTGAGGGCCCGCATCCGGTCCGAAGGCGTCAGTTTTCGTCGCCGATTTCTTATCTTGCCCGTTTTACTTCACTCGTTCACTTCAGGCAAGCTACAGGGAGATGGGGGAGGGGAGGCCCTGCGTGCTGGAGTCTGGCGGGAGAAAATCGCCCGGCAAGCACAAGATAAGCTAGAGGAAAAAAAGGCGGGAGAACTCGCCGCTCCTCTGGCGCATGGCGTAAGGACGATCCGAGATTTCTGCGTGAACCCCGGAGAATATGGATTTTCATGTAAAATAGGGCTTACGTGGAAATCCATATGCGCTTTTTGGTCAGAAGACCGACGAATTGGCCTTCATTTTGAAATAAGGAAATACAATTTCTGGCTCATCTGTAAAAACACGTATGTGCATAGGGAAACTAATGGCACATACGCTGTTTTAAGACGGAGCCAGAAATGATAGTTCCGAGATGCAAAATGTTCTTCAATTGAAAGAAAGAAAAACAATGCTCGCCCTTACAAAAACGTGAAATACTTAGCGCCCCTGGTGCAATAGGACGGAAAAATCAAAACCACACTGGTGCTGGCTTTGTAACTTGGCAAGAGAGGTTGAAAGGTCTTCCAACTTTCGAAAATACTAATTGTTTCAATTGTCAACTAACGACATGGAAACATTTCACAGAACTAATCACACACTGAGCAGCATTATTTTAATTACTAAAAAAGTAGGGAGACTTTTTGGTTTCAATAAAATTGCTCAAATTTTACACGAGATTTTCTTATCTTGGTAAAGTAATCCTTTGCAACTGCGAAAAGGAAAGTGGGGGGGGGGAGGGCTTGTACGATTGGGTTGAAGTGATAATTTCCAGTTAGGCACTTCAAAATGCAAAAAGAAATATGAGGAATAAAAGGAAAGCTCGAGATGACGGAAACAAAAAATTCCAATTCAACGGCTCAACCTTCCACGATAGATTGTTAGCTCACGTTCATCATACGTGGGGCCCGCAAGTAATTTGGACACTTCAAAATGCAAAAAATAAATATGAGGAATAAAAGGAAAGTTCGAGATGACAGAAACAAAAAATTCCAATTCAACGACTCAACCTTCCACGATAGATTTTTAGCTCGCTTTGATCATAGGTGGAGCCCTCGAGTAATAATGAACGATTTAGTCAACCAATGAAGTAACATAAGGAGAGGCTGCAATAACATAAAAAACCTAGACGTTTCGAAATAATAAAAACTTCATTTCCTACTGGAAAAAAACCAAAAAGGAGTCGTCGATTTCTCTCCAATCAACATATTTCCTACACTTTTCAAAGCAGACAAAACTTGCCAGAAATTATCATCTGAAGGTACAAATGTAAGACACAATGTAAATGAAAAATTCATATTATTTTCATCGAACAACCTAGGAATTCTCAGATGAGGGAAAGGTAGCCTAGTGAGTCTATATTGGTAACCTGAAATGAGAGGGTACAAACATATTCATGGAAGGGCTTGGAGGACAAGGCTCATTCAGTACAGTTTTTGAAAAAATTGAGATATTCATGAACTCATCTTAATCTAATTTGAGAGTAGGTATATTCTTAGAAAATTCACAACTAAAATCCAATTTTAAAGCATCAAAGCGTGAGTTTGAACTTCCTTTCCGCCATTAGGCCCCACGAAATTTTGAAACTAGAAACACATATATATCTTGGAATAGAAAAAATTTCTGTGCGCTTTGTCCTCCAAGCCTCTCCATTTAAAAACTTGGCAAAATTTCCTTTCAGTGGGTTGCGACTATGAAAGAAGAGGAATGAATAGAGAGAAAGAAACAGGAAAATCACAAGGGTAGATCACATGACAAGTAATACATATTTACACCTTAGTTGGGCAGAATTTAAATCAGAAGTAAGTAAATTATCTCAAACCTCGATCACAGACCAAACCGTGATAAACAGAAGCAGTAGTAGCCAAAATTTCCCATCGAGAGAGCCCATCACAAGATTCAGTTCTGCGTGAAGTTGAAAAGCTTCGCTTTGACCGGAGAAACCGACGCGAAATGTCCACATCTCCAAACGAAATCACACCACGACAAACCGAATTTCCGCACGATTTAATTGCACGACGAGATACAAAACAACGCAGACGAAATAACACCACGACTAACCGAATTTCCGCACGATTTAATTGCACGACGAAATACAAAACGATGCGATCAAAATGAAAACATGACGAGACGGAAGGCGAATCGCGCGATGCAGTTCCGAACTTCCGAACGCGTGTACCGGCGAAACCTCGAGACCTCATGGTGAGTGAATTCAGGAAACAGAAGAGTTTAACACGGCACAGATTATCGACACACTTCATAAAAAGACACACGAGACTTAATTACCGACAATTGAGAAGAAAACTCAAAGGAAACTCTAATAATTTTGAAGGGACGTTGGGGAGCCAAGGCGGCCGACGCGTGCGCGACCAGAGACGTTCACCGAATGCGACTCAACTCAAGTACTCAACTCAAGTGAGTGACGCTGGCCGAATCTTCTCAAGGACAGACTCGCTCTCAGCCTCGGGCGTCCGTGACAGTGGAGAGGGTAGCTTTTCCCGCCACCAGAAGGGCTCGCGTGCTAGCCTCCGGCCGGCTCCGAATCCGAATTTTGACGATTTGCTCGCACCTTATCTGTTCTGTGATCACACGTTACACTGATGCCAGATTTTTCGAATAATCTTGTGGGGTCTCTCTCAAAATAAACGACTTATGTACTTTATACAAACACAAATCCTCAATTATATTATAATATATTTCCTGCCGTTCAAGGCTTCCTGTTAAGTAACTAATCCAAATCAAAATGTACTCACTTACCTCTCTTCTCTCGCTCATTAAATGTCACACTGTTTTTTCACACTCACATTTCATTCAAAATAATTGAATTAGATCTAAGATGTGTACACAAATTGTTATCGTTGTTGGGGGTTCCGTCACAATAAAATAAAGAATTCTGGCTAAACAACTTGTGGCTGTAAATAGTTTCCTTAACGCAACGATTTTTTTTTCCTCAGCTCAACGAAGAACCGCCAATAAAATAGTTTTTTTTTGTTGGAAGGAATCAAAATCTCCTCGATACATAATTAGTAGGGTGCATCATGAGAATTTTTTCATTATTTTGTTTGAAATTTTTAGATAATTTAGATCTGATTGCGAAAAAAATTCTCGGAAAAACGAGAGGAGAAATATTCACAGATTTCCCCGAAAATTCGTATTTAATCAAGGGAAATTTGATAACGTCTGAAGCCTCATTCGGCTTTCCTCTATTCGCATGGCAGCATTCTGATAAATCCTGATTCCAATTTTGAATCGGTATACGGTCAAATTCAGCCTCCTCATAAATTTTCAACGAGTCCAAAGGATAATAATGTTCGACTGTTGAAATTTTTTGTTTGTCGGGACGACAAAGATGACATAGGTTAAACGGTGGAGCATATCTTTAGTTAACATTTCAACATTTGGACGTAGTTCTACCAAACAGACCTGTGTGGAAGTGAGAAATATGGGGTGTGCTCGTTAGTCTCTGGCCGTAAGAGTGAATGAGAATAATAAAACGCCAGTGACGTCAGCGGCAATGAAAAAGCGGGGGTGAGACGTCGTCGTCGGGGCTCTTTAACTCATGAGCCCTGTCCACAAGGCTCTATTGCCCTGCCCGCGGCTCATGAGTTCCGCACTCAGTTGGCACATAGGTCTGTTTGATAGAATGCAATATCCTGCTTTGCCAATTCTTCAAAAGGAACCACGCCCACTTTTACATTGCTTCTTATGCAGATTTCTAAAGCACACCCCACATTTCTCATCGCCACATAGGTCTGTTTGGTAGAAATACGTCCATTTAAGGTATACGTATTTCAATTTTCTGTTGTTGGCGTGGTTAAAAGTAAAAATGACGTAAGGAAATCTGAAGGGGAGACTTTTTTTTTTTTTTTTACTTTATTCGATTTAAGTGGCTCAATTAAACCATGGTGTATTCTGCAGAATTGTACGATGTAATAAATGTATTTATTATGTTTATGTTTTATTTTCTAATGGACCACTAGACAAGATACGAATTCAAGCATTCTGATGTTTTTTAACCAAAATTTCACGTAGAACACGTTGTGTACAACAAAAATTACCGAAATCAACTCCTTACGAAGATATTTAGTGATTCCTGATGCGTGAATTCAAACCGCCCGCTCAATAAAACTCAATGCTCTACGTGATTCACATCGCGCGTTGAATATTATCGTGACAGTCTCTGCGATATGAAAATCTGGCAACCACAATTTTGACGCTTTGGCTCAGCTATAGCAAATTGCTTATAATTTGAACAACGCACGGTGGGAAATGAACAGTGCTCGATTGAGAGGCTTGCTGAAACTATTGTAGTGCGCGATTTGACTCAAGTGGAGCTTTGAGTTTCTTGTGAGCGGGCAGTTCAAAATCCGCGTAACCAATGTGAAATAAAAAGGTTAATATCTTCGTCAGGAGTTAGTTTCAGTAATTTTCGTTGCGCGAATCGTGTTCTACGTGAAATTCTACTTAAGAAACATGTATCAGAATGCTTGAATTCGTACCTTGTCTAGTGGTCCATTTCCACTATTTTTATCATTTTCTTGAGTTATTTTTAATTTAAGGAGTTTTTAATATTTGCATGTTTTAGGCTATAGTAAATTATGGTTTATGAAACTTAACACAATCCTATTTCGTGTTTTATTTTTTTGCCAATAAGTTAGTCGACCCGATAAACTTTTTATGGGTTTGGAAAACTATGAACTATGAAAAAAATGGAAATTCTAAATTCGCTATTAGCGAATGTAGCGAATTTAGAATTTCAATGTTTCAAAAAGTTCGTGGGGAGTGCCCCGACGAACCTTCCTTGGGGGCACATACATGAAGCGGGCACCGAGCCTTAACTTCCAAGTCCGGCCCTGCCTATAAATGGACCACGGCTGAGAATTAACAAATATCTTTTTTTTAGTTACAAACTACAAATATAAACAAAAAACTAATTCTTTATTTTTTACACACATGGCAATAGAGATTGTTCATAGTTTCCTAAACCCATAAAAAGTTTAGTGAGTCGACTAACTTATTGGAAAAAAAATAAAACATGAAATAGGATTGTGTCAAGTTTCATAAACCATAATTTACTACAGCCTAAAACATGCGAATATTAAGATATTCTTAAAATAAAAATAACTAAAGAAAATGATAAATATACTGGAAATTTGGAATTGAAAAATAAATATAATACATACCTTATTTATTATATCTTACAATATTGCAGAATACACCATGGATTTAATTATTTAAGTATAACTTTAAGTTAGTCGTTTACATCCATTGCATTGCACATGTTATTCGTCAATTTGCATTGTAAATTTTGCATCCCTGCATTTTTATTCTTATTAAAATAAATTAAAGACTCTGTTTCTGAATTTAGCGGCGTTCCTGTAAACTTTAAGTAAGCTTACTTCAGTGAATCTATTACAGGAGTCTCGTATAACCCAAATTTTTTTTTTTTTTTTTTTTTTTTTTTTTTTTTTTTTTTTTTTTTTTGCTGGTTTAGTGGCTTATATTCCGTTGGAACCTACAGCCATCGATAGACAGTATTTATTGTCCTTAGACATCATGGGATTTAGGCACATCCATGCTCCAGGCTTTCAAATTTTCAGGAATTAAGGCCGAGTGGAATCTGTTTCTGCCGATCCACTCGTCAGTTCCATGAAAATTTGTCGCCACCACCGGGATTCGAACCCGGGACCTATTGGCCAAGAGTCAGACGCGCTGACCACTAGGCCAACCTGGCCGGCAACCCCAAAATCATGGATATTTTTGAAGTCAGTTATAAATTTCATTCCGTTTTCATCGTTTTTCCGTTCCGTGACGAATGATTGAATTATTTGAAAAAGCCTTTATTTAGATGTTATGCCATTCTAACGGTACTCTAAAGATCAAGGGCTAGTTATATCCTTGGTCATGTCAGTAAAACAGATGCGGTTACTATACGAGAAGGATATTTCTTATTACAAAATTCTGCCCTCCCCTCTCAAACTTTCGAATAAAATTGATTCCTATCACTCACTGGGACTGTCAATGATTAAAAGGAATGGGTGCTTTATTTAACATTTCTCAGAGAATGAAACTTAAGGACCTTAAGTATGGTAACGGAGACACAACGCCTCACTGGGAAAAAACAAACGCATTGGATCTAGAGTCCAGACTCTTAAAAACATCGGCAAGAAAAAGTACTCTTGATTCAATCAGAGTCTAGCTTAAATCAAGAACCAAGCCTCTTAATTTAAGCGGATTTCGTTTTGATTCGAGCAAAAATCCGATTGAATCAAGAGTATTTTTTCTTGTCGATGTTTTAAAGAGTCTGGACTCTAGATCCAATGTGTTTTTCTTTCCAGTGCTCGCCGCACCGCACCGTAAACGTGGCGTAAGGAAAGTGGAACGTAAAAAGCACCTTCAAATACGTAGTTTACTGCATCAATTACTACGTCTATGAAGTTGCATCACTAAGAAATGAAGGCTTTTCCAAAGACGAGATCGGCCACGGGCAGGCTCAAAATAATTATTGTATTACATAGAAATCGAGCTTTACTCTAGCATTTCTCATTTAAGATGCAAAATATTTTCTTCCCGATTATTATTTACCTCTTATTCTGCGAATTCCTCGCCGGGGATGAATGTGTGGGCTAGCCACTAGGGTAATTTATTGTGTGAGGGGCCCCAGGATTGTTTGAATTAAGCAAAGAGTTGCCAAACCCAGATATATACACTAAAGAAGACTTAAACGCATATAAAGAAATTTTATTTGCATCAAACGCACATTTACAAAAGTATGACAAAGATAAATCAATTGCTAGTAGTTCTGGTTTAAAATATCGGAGTATAATCCAAAAAAAAACTTTTCTCTGCGACAGGGTCTGGCTTCCTACCAGTCACTAATGAAAAAGTAGATTATATACGCTGGAATGGTATAAATGAGTTAGTTGAGCGATTATTTCTCCTGAGAACAGCTCAAAAAGTAGGACATTCAGGCGTTGAAATTGAGATAAACTCTTATAACAAGAGCATGGGTGAATATATACTACGTATAAGGATACTTCAGCCGAGTGCGAGGTCAGCGACAGCGCAACCTTGTAGCGGTCTTTTGAAGCTTCACTATATCATAGCTTCCTCATTTGGCCTTTGGAAAGCACTACTGTGGGAATGGAATTAGCCAATCAGCAAGGTAACTAGCGTCCCGGAGTCCCGACCTACAGAACTTCTGCAATGGAGATGTTGCATGTGTGAGGAATTTGCGATTTGACTATGGACTATTCTATTGGACTAAAGTTCGCGAGAAACACGATGGTATCACTGGTTTTTTCTGAAATCAACTCCCAAGCTCAAAAAAAGCTCTCAAGTTGAGGCCAAAATGTAGGGGATATCCCACGCTATCCTGAGAGTCCACCTCT